ACGCATCAGTCATCCTTCCTTAGGTCGGAAACCAGCCCCGCAAAAGCCAGGGCTCATGCAGTTACAAGAGTGGGGGCATACAGGGAGTTCACTGGAACCAGTGCCTGGGCGGGGCTCACACAGGGAAGGTTGGGTGGAAAGAGAGTTCATAGCCCGTTTCCTCTGGGAATTCATAGCCCATTTCCAACCAGGCTCTGCCACTAACTAGTAGGTCCCGTCCTCAGTTTCCCAGGCTGTCAAGTGACAGTCCCCACCCTGATGCTCCTCAGGGGCCCAGCATGGAGTTCTTCAGGGTCCTATCTTTGTGGGCCATGGACTGGTGATAAAGAGAAGCCGGAGAGATGATATAGGAGGATAGGTGCTCGTCTTCTATGTGGCCAATCCCAGTTTGATCCCTGGCATCCCATAGGGTCCCTCAAACATCATCAGGAGGGATCTATGAGCACAGTGCCAGGTAATCAGCCCTGGGCATCAAAAAGTGTGACCCCCAAATCAAAATAATAATAATAATAACAATAATAATAAAACCCACAAACACACCAAAGAGAACACAGACCCTCACACACACACAACGACACAAGTTTCTGTCGAAAACAATCTAGACATTTGCGCATTCCAGAAGATCCAGCTGAAGAGCCCGGAGTTTGGGGGGGTTCTAAGCTTATTGACAAACAGCACACAGCCATAGCACCCCCACCTGGCTGGCCACGGAGCTGCAGTGCAGGAAAGCAGAAGGTGCTTACGGCAGCAGCCAGTGCCCCCACGCAGACCAGCAACTCATGAGTTTACTCCTGTTTGCGGATGGAGGACACTTGTAATAAAGTTAATGTGGAGGAACAAAGTGTGTTTAACCAAAGCTGTAAACATCTCTAATTCTATTTAAAACTATAGGGTGCCGTACATTAACATTTAACAATCACACATTAAATGGGTGGGAAGCAACGGAGCTGTGTTTATTAGAAAGCAAGCACCAAGTCATCTGGTGACAACGGAAGAAGCAGAAAACCAACACAGGCCAGCCCTCTCACCCTGCTCTCCTTCCTCACCCCTCAAACCCCTCATACCTTCCCCCATCACTACCCTGAGCAAAGTCAGGGACGGCTTGGGAAAAAGTTCACTGAGCAGAGCAGACCGAGTTCAGCAACAGGGTCTGCTGGCCTTGGGCCTCAGGGGGGAATTGCTTCGTCTGCCAAACACCTGCTTGACAAATGGAATCTGTACAACGCATGGGGGTTGAGTGACGCTCAACTTCTGTTCTAGTTGATCTCTGAAGAGCTCACATTGCTGATCTCTCTCCTCCCCCTTAGACAAATCTTTAAGGAGCTGCTTTCTCCTGTTCCCTTCCTACTTCTCTGATGGCTGCCCTTCCCTGTTGTCCTTCAGGCTCATCATCAGACCTCCAGTGTGGGAGTCCCAGTCCCATCTTCCCCATCCAGCTCAGGTCTAGGCACCTTCCCTCCTCCCTGCTTCTTCCCTTGGGGAATTTGGACACGCTCAGGGCTTCAGCTGTGACCTATAGTCCTCCCCAACGGGTACTCCAGCCACAATATCAGCAGTACACACCCTTGCCACTCGAAGTGTAGTCCAGGTGCCACGGAACAGGACATGATCTACGGGACTCTTCAAAACACAGTTTCCCAGGCCTGACCCAGACTTCCTGATCCAAGGGTTGAACAGTTAACAAGATCCAGGGGATCTTCTGGTATAGAAGTTTAGGGAGCCTTCTGTATTCACAAATATTGAAGTTTGGTCCAAGCAATCCATTAACATTCCTCAGTAGCTCAAGTTCGCCTTGTCTGCGCTGAAGAGCGGCCTTTCCTCTTCACCATGCATTTCATTTTCATTTACATCCCATTTAGTAGCTTCTATCTAATGTACAAGTGAAGGAAAATAAGTCAGTACCCCCACCATGTGTCATGGAGCTGCCCACAACCTCCCCCAACACTATTCTTCTGAATCAAGAATACTGGCAAGAATACGTAGTGGACTGGAGAGATAGTACAGGGGATAAGGTTCTTGCTTTGCCCATGGCCAATGCTGGTTTGATTCCCAGCACTGCATAGGGACCTCCACCCCCTACAGGAGTGATCCCTGGGCAACAGGCCACAAGTATGCTCTGAGCACCACCAGATGTGGCCTCAAAGTTAAAAACAAATCTTTGTTGACAGCCAGCACAAATATGCTCCCTCTAATTTCCATGGGACATGTGGCCTTCTCCTGCTGGTCCAGCCCTGAGATTCCCTCCCTCAGGACAGCTTTAGTCCTGATGGCTGACAGAGATGAGGGTCTTCAGAGCTCCGAGATGGCCTGCTCTGTTGGAAGGTGTGTCGCGCAAGCTTGTGGCTGTAAGCTGAGTTGCTGCAGGTGATGAAAGAGGGCTCCTTGTGTGCAATTCTTTTGCTTGCCGTGCTGGGACTTTGTACAGCAGCTTTGATGCTGGCTGTACTAGATTTTGCTCTGTTGCAAAGGACTAGCTGGGGCAAAAGCAGAGAATAGATAATGGAAAAATGGGCTGTTTATTGAATTCAAAGTTGTTTTGACATGAAAAGTCTAGAGGATTTGAGGATCTGGAAACTGGAATTCTCTGCTTCCAAGCCATTCCCCTCCTGGCTTTTAGCTGCATCTCCTTCATTCTCTGCCAGGCAGGAGGGGGTACTGCAGGAAGATCTGATATGCCAGCTGAACTGCCCATGAGAAAGATGTTTTATATTTCCCAGGGAGTCTGATTAGCCCATACCTGGCCTTCTGTCTGCTCTGGATCATATTTGTGGCCTGGGACATGAGCCCTACTCATGGTTTATCCTGGGTTATAATCTTACCTATCAGGTACTGAGTGATGAACTGTCCCTAATAGCATCTCCACTGATTTAACATTTTTGCCTAAAAGAATCTTTGGGTTTATTGATGTGAGGGATGACCTAATGTCCATGCACTAGAAATGTGGGATGCCCCTTGCCACCTTCTCTCAAATATGTCTCAGAAAAGGGAGGCTTTAGCTTTTCTTGTTTGCTGAGTGCTAAAGGAGCCACAGGCTTTAGTAAGGAGATGATCCTAAAGACATAGCAACTCATTCTTCCTTCACAATGGATTTAGTTTAAGATTTAGGCTTGGGGATCTGACTTGGCAAGGCAGTTTGAGGGGATCCCTTCTTCACCTCCTTATTTGCTGAGATAATTCCACATCTTACCAGTCTTCAGACACAATTCATCATTAGCAAATCTGGGGCTGATTACACTCTTCGTGACAGTGCCAATAAGCAATGGCGTCTTACTGGTTCCAGCTTTATTTAAAAGCTGGAACAATTGCACATTTTGAATACTACTAATAGAGTTGTTTTCATAAATGCCTCATAGTAAAAATAAATTGTAGAACTGTTTATTTACTTCCATTGGAAGGATATTTCTCTGTATTTATCTACAGAAATGTCAGTGCATGGAGAGTGTAGCTGACAGGGAACAAATGGGAAGAAACAATTTTTAAGTTTTCTGGGACAATACTTCAAATGAATCACTCCTCATCTCCAAAGAAGTCCCTGGCACAGTTTTCAGTTCTGCGCAGAGCTCAGATCCTTTGCTTCTGGAGACCACTGTAGGACAAGCTCTGCTTCGATGTACCTCACAGTTCCCACGATTGCCCTGGGAAATGTTCTGGGCAGGTGATTGTCTATGTCAGCATGTCCCAACTCACAACCAAGTGCACTTATGCAGAGAGACCCACAGTTATAGAGAAAGGATCTAAGATAAGTCTATAACAATGGCTTGCAAGACTGTACCACAGCAGCCAGCTTTTAAGAGAATGAGTTCTTCTAGAAGGAGTCTGTTCATTTCCACAGGCAATGACCCTGAAGTCCCATTAAACTTAAGGATCCAGGTTTGGCATAGATGGGGCTTGGGGGTCTTTCAGTTGTTTCAGTTGTTCTGTCTCATCCTCTTCACATGCCCCACTACTGACTACCACCCTGTACCTCCAGGGCTCCTCAAACTCATAACGGCTCTTCAGGTACATCAAGAAAGCATGCTCTTCCCTCAAAACACCCTGCACCCATGCTCTGATGCAACACTGCCACAGTAAACCAGGATAGGGTGATCCAAATGGCGTTTCTCTCCTAAAGAGATGCTCTGGAAGTGTCGTGAATTCTCCCAAGAGGTCTCGCTTTCTCAAAAGCTGTGTGCTTTATGCCTTACCTTTAACGTACGGGAGCAGTGGACGGAATGAGAGGCAGGTGTGGGCCAGTGAGAATGATCTCCTCTTTGTTAAGTCAGGCTATTTTTTGCATCTGGAAAAATCATTATCTGTTTCCAATTTGGAGTCTTTCCAGGAAGTCATGAGAAGCACTCAAAAGCTATCATGAGTCTTTGGAAGTGTTACTACAGAACTCAACTCAAGGATAAATATTTACTTTTTAAAGCTATTGTAATGAGAGCCTGAAATAGTGAGACAGTTTCCTTCTGCAAATACAGACTGACTCTCACATGACTGTTAACACAGTGAATTTGTGTAGCAATTTATGGTGTCTAGACTCTTGCAATATTCATGATCCCATTATAAGAACTCTAGGAGCAGTTAAGTCAACTATACACCAACGTGGAGCCTGAGACACTCAGGGGATAAGAAACACAACTAAGTCCACATGACTGTACAGAGGGAGAAAAATCACACCCAATTCTCTTTAAAATATATAATTTACCATATATACATAATCCATTACAAACGCAACAATTTCTGTGGTGTGCGGTAAAAACGACAAGTGCATTTAGGCATCGGAAGTGTCCATAACAACACAGGTTACAGGAGAGTTTTTTCCTAGACTGGATCCGACTTCCACTGAGCCTCCCTGCGGGACACTCACCAGCCAAGAGCAGATCCGAATTCACTGTCAGAGTTGAGCTGGGCAAGGCACTTTGTGGCCCTCATGGCTCCAGGCCACCCTTGTCCAGTCAGGTTTGCACTTGTCCCATCCCTGAGGAGCCAGAACACTCCCCTGAGGGCAGACGTTGAGTCAGGGTCAGGAAATTCAGCCCTGTTTGCAGGTCTGCTTCCTCCTGTGTGTCAAGGGGCCCCAGCCATCCTGCTCTGTTTGGATAAGGGAAAAACTTCTCAGAGGACAGGAATTTTTCTCACCAGGAGAGGCCTCACCTGCTGAAGGGCTGAAGCCCTTGAAAGGGTATGCAATAGAGGGCTGGGGATGTGGAAGTGGGCAACTGGGGTGTCCCGTGAGGGCTCACCATGAGCTTTGACCTCGGATTCCCTCTTTGCCTGACTATCTTCACAGTGCTGGGGCCAGCACATCTATAACAAGAGATGCTCTCTTGAGTGCCTCCTTGTAATAAGCGCTGTGCTGTGCCGTATCTGTTCTGCCCTGTTCCGGTTTGTTCTGCTCTGTTCTGAGGTTTTGCTCTGCTCATCTCTGTTCTGCTCTTTCCTGCTCTGCTCTGTTCGGTTCTGTTCTGCTCCATCCCGCTCTGTTCTGCTCGGGGGCTCCCATGCTTTCTGATTCTTGAAAACCAATATTCCCCCATCTACCCTGTCACACTATGACCTGTAATGGCATTTCCTCTACCCTAGACTATGAGTTTGCTATCACTGGTACAGGAAGAGTAGAAGATTAAAATAAAGATTATTATTTTTTAAGGCTAAAAAAACTAAAACAGAGAAAGAAGAGAATGTGAAGAGGGGCTGGCTCAGCATAAAGTCTCTTTTGGGTACACTCAGAATTGAGTCTCAGCCCTCATGGCTCAGGCCTGAAGTTGGGCCCTAGAAAGTTTTCCAACAGCAGTCGGCCCTGTGCTGGGGGGAAACAGCCGTGTCCCTCCTGGAAGGCACCTGAATAGCGTCGGAAAGGGGGTTCCCGTCCACCACACAGAAGGCACCAGTGAAAATACAAAAATAAGGACTTTGTTTCCAGAGTTTCATAAATAACTGGGGTGGCAGGTATTAAATAGGACCGTGGGCAAAGATGCGTGTTTACAGCTTGTTCTCCTCAAAGAGGATCTGGGCGTAGACCGTGTTGGTGGGGGCACCTTTGGCTGCCTGGTGGGGTTTGATCAGTTCCAGCTCGGCGTAGGTCAAGTTCTCCTCGGCAATTTTTGGCTGGAAAACAAAAGAGAGCACAGTTTCAACATCAAGGGGGAACTCCATACCATCCATTCACTCATCAGCTGTGTGCACTCAGAGCACTGTAGGAATTCAAAGGGGGAAGAGATAGGCCAGAAATTGTTCTAAAGATAAAAACCTAAGGAACAGAATATGATAAATCGCATAATGTTAGTTGGAACACTGTGCCTTCAAAAAGATGTATTTTCAAGTTGACATGCAACACTAACAAGACATGATTAAATATTAAGGTACAAAGTAAAGTTTAATGCTGAATAGTTAGAATAATTTAACTCCCACTTTCTGGTCAAAGAGCAAAAACTGGTGACAGAAAAATATCTTGGAAATTAATAAATTTAAAGGGCTAAAGTGATAGTACAGTAGGTAGGGCATTTGCCTTGCACATAGCCAACCTGGGTTCAATCCCTGGCATCCTATATGGTCCCCTGAGCACTAACAGGAGTGGATAACCCCACAACCTAAATTAATAAATTTAATTTTAAAAGATGATTGTAACAAAAAATATATTAGAAATTAATAAATTAGAATTGTACCAACTAAAAAATTGCTTAAAAGATTTAGATTACATAAAATAAAATTTGAGAATATCTTTAAAATAATCAAAGACATATTTCTAATTAGAACATAAAGACTGTAATGATCAAAAAATTATAACTCTAATATATTAGACAATTTAAACATAATATATGAACAATTGTAATTATTAGACATATTAGACATTTAATATTATTAGAAATTATAATTGTCTAATAATATACTAGAAAATTTAGACAATATGAATTAAATGGATCCAACATGCAGAAAAAGAAACAAAATTTAAAAAGATGGAACTAATAAAGTTACAACTAGACTATGAATCAGTTAACAGAAAAGTAGTAGAATTAGTTAAAATATCCTAAACCTTGTGTTTGGAGGACATTGAAAAAAATCTGAAAAATAAATTAAGATGAAACTTGATAATTTAATTTTCAATAAATGATATTAGAATACCTGGATGGCTAATTGAAAGAAAGATAAATTCCTACTTTATTCTTTACTCCAGATAAATGAAAACTTTTTTAACACATAAAATAATCTTATAAAAATGCTATAAGAATATGTGGGAAAATTAAACAAACTAAACCCTCAGTGGATTGGAGGTATTTCAAAGTTTGATACAAAATTCAAAAACAACAGTTTAAAAATATATAGATTTTCATGTGGAGAAATTATTTACAACTCATTCAAGGGCTTATAATTTATTCAATAGTCATAATGACCAACAATCCTTGAGAACATTAGATACACAACAAAAAAGTTGACAGGACAGGGAATACAACGGTGCTCTTGCTCTTATGTATGAAATGAGTCTTGACCATTCTGATAACAAGGCCACAAGTTAAAAACCTTATTTAGGGGGCTGTGGGTGTGGCTCAGCAGAGCACTGCCTCTCATGCAGGAAATCTGAGTTTGATTCTGGGCATCGCACCATAAACAATTAAGAAAATCTCACTAATTTTATTCTCTTAAATTCAGAAAGAAAAGAAAAAGAATTAGTCTGTAAAACAAAATATATTTTATAACTTATTTTTGTTTTTTATTATACAAATGTTCTCTTGAGTAGAAGTCATGGATAATCTTCTCCATTGCCGTTCTGGAGGATGTGATGGATCCATCAGGACGTCGGAGGGCAGTCATCTTGGTCTTATAGTTGGCGAAGGACAGGCAGGCGTTACGAATACTTTTCCCGGCTTCTGCCGCATCTACCAGTACTTCTGCTCTTCTCTCTTTGAGGTCTTCCTTGATCGCATCTCTGCACTGCTTTGCGAGCTCGGACGTTAGCCATGTCCATAGCCATCTCTTCGATAGCCATGTCCACTTGCCGACATACCAAATTCCACAGGATGGGTATGTCGTTTCCAATGTTCTCCCTTCCGAAATCCGACACGCCATTTCGTCGGTAAAGAAACAAACAGAACCCGGCCCAGACAAGGTCAGACCTGAACACCTGAAGAACCTGCCGTCAGTACTCATCAATACACTGGCTCGGCTCTTCACTCGCTACCTGTCTGAATGCAAGGTTCCGTCCCAATGGAAGACCAGCAGGACCGTACTACTGTTCAAGAAGGGAGACATCCATGACATTGGCAACTATCGCCCGATCTGCCTATTGTCTGTCATCTACAAGCTGTTCACTCGAGTCATCCTGAATAGGATTGGCAGAACACTAGATGAAGGACAACCATGCGAGCAAGCCGGGTTCCGCAAAGGATTCAGCACCATCGACCATATCCACACAATAACCAAGCTCATTGAGGTTTCTCGGGAGTTCAAGATGCCGCTCTGCTTAACGTTCATTGATTTAAAGAAGGCCTTTGATTCTGTTGAGACGGAAGCGGTCACTGAAGCCCTAGCCAATCAGGGCATTCATGCCCAATACATCAGGATCCTCCGTGAGCTGTATTGCGGATTCACTACCAGGATCTCACCATTCTACAAAGAAGTGATCGTTGATGTCAAGAGAGGGGTGCGGCAGGGTGATACCATTTCACCGAAACTCTTCAGTGCCACCCTCGAGAACATCATGCGACGACTGGAATGGGAAGGAATGGGAGTGAAGATAGATGGTCGGCAACTACACCACCTCCGCTTTGCTGATGACATTGTTTTAATAACACCAAACATCAGCCAAACGGCACAAATGCTGGCCGACTTTGACCATGAGTGTGGAAAGGTAGGACTACAGCTGAATCTTACAAAGACAATGTTTATGAGAAACAGCCTTGTTCCTGACGCCCCATTCGCTCTCAATGGAACAACCATCTCCGAATGCAACAGCTATGTGTACCTAGGTCGAGAGGTCAACATGACAAATGACCTGGCACCCGAGCTGCGCAGGAGGAAGAGAGCGGCTTGGAACGCCTTCAAGAACGTCGAAGAAATAGCGAGGACGAAGAACCTCCGGCTCCGGGCACATCTCTTTGATTCCACTGTTCTTCCTGCATTAACATATGCCTCAGAGACCTGGGCCCTACGCAAACAAGATGAGAACGCCATTCAGGTCTCCCAAAGAAGAATAGAAAGAGCTATGCTTGGAATATCACGTTTCACTCAAATGAGAGAACGAATCCAGAGTTCTGACATCCGTAGACGATCAAGGATCAGGGACGCTGTCTCATTTGCCAAGGTGTCGAAAATCAGATGGGCTGGTCACGTAATGAGATTTAAAGACGACAGTTGGACTAGAGCTGTTACTGATTGGATTCCACGGGATGTCAAGAGACCGCGTGGCCGCCCACCTACCAGATGGTCAGACTTCTTCGTCAAGATCATGAACGATCGGTTTGAGGCCCTTCATGTTCCCGGAGCGAACAGATGCCATTGGGCTACACTAGCACGAGACAGGGACAAATGGAGACGTTACTGGCGCCCGCTCGAGCAAATCGATGACTAACGGGAAGTTAAGTGATTAAGTGATTAAGTGAAATGTTCTCTTGCATAAAAACTTCTTTTTGAAAGAAGTGTTTTCTTTAATTTTTTTATTGTTAATCAAATATTGTGAACTACTGTATTAAATAAAAAAATTTTCAAAACAAAAAAATTTAATTGTGATTCTGTGGCTTAGAATACTGTTCTGACTGACTTCACTCAGTATGATATCCTTGGCGTAGCATCCACATTGCTGCAAAATTCATGATTCTTTTCTTTCTCAGAGCTGCATAGTACTCCACTGTGTATATGTACCCCAACTTCATTTGTATTTGGGCATTTGGGTTGTTTCCAATTTTAGCTAGTGTGCTAAGTACCGCAACAGGAGCATTCCTTAACATAGGCAGGAAACAGGAAACATTTCAATGGATAATCAGAGGACACTGGGGGGTTTACACAATGGGGATAAGCGCTGCAATCTTTATAAAGAATGATGGAACTACTTGTTCGCTGGGGGTGAGTGAAGTTCACTGTGATTTGTGTAAATGTTTGAGTAAGCAAATAAATATTCATGTGGATATTTTAGGTGTCTTGAAACCCACATGGAAAATCAGAAGTTAGTACCTATGACCTATAGTTAATTTTGTTAGTACCTATAGCTCCCTCTAGAGAAGTAAACTGGATAGTAGAAGAGACTCATTTTTTTGTTATCTACATTAGTTGGTACCTCCCAAAATTGGGCGTAAGCCCATGCATTCAACAAAATCTTTTCATGAATTAAATCTCATAATTAGAGATATAAAAGCTAGCCACTGATTTTTAGTCATTAAAGAACATGATTTTCATTTTAGCTGCACAGCTTTTCGTGTTTTGATTTGGTCATGCTGCTGTTCCTTTGTTTGGATATTTGCTACTATATGCTACAGCCTTGATTATCTCAGTAAAATTCAGCACAAATAAATAATTTACATTAATTAAAGTTTCTTTTAAAGTATGACTATATTCACCAGTAGTAAATGATGTACTACAATGTAAATGGCAGCCAAGGGGAGAGGCTGAAGGGTTGCAGGGAACCTGGGGACTCTGGTGGATGAATGGGGACAGTGGTAATGGCACTGGTGTTGGAACTTTGTATGTCTGAAACAACGCTGTTATGAATAGCTTTTTCTTTTTTTTATTTTTATTTTTTTTTGCCGTTTGGGTCACAACTAGCGATGTACAGGGGTTACTCCTGTCTCTGCGCTCAGGAATTACTCCTGGTGGTCCTCAGGGGACCATATGGGATGCTGGGAATTGAACCCGGGTCAGCCACGTGCAAGGCAAACACCCTACCTGCTGTGCTATCACTCCAGCTCCAACTTTTAAATCACAGTGCTTTACTCTGCATAAATGCATAAAAAGTGGAAAAAGATTAAAAAATAAATAAAAATAATAACCAGAACAAAAGCCCCTCTTTTCTGTGATGAGAAAACAAACTGGAGCTGGAGGTTAGGGTAGATCCTGGGAGGACTTCCCTTCCCTTCCCTTCCCTTCCCTTCCCTTCCCTTCCCTTCCCTTCCCTTCCCTTC